CTGCCAGGGCAGCCTCCTGGCACAGCACGTTTGAGAAGGCCGATGCGGGAGTGGCCGCCGGTACCTTACTCCAGGCCAGGCCGCCATCGGATACCCACAGAGGCCACACGGGCAGGCGGGCGGGCGGGTCCACAGAGCGGGGCCAAGTGCTCTGTCTCCCTGCAGGTGCCGTTTTCGTGGGGGAGGCAGGGCTGCCGTGGGGCCTGAGTGGAGGGTAGAGGACCAAGACAAGGGGCTGGGCCTGGTGACATTTCCTAGGGTCACCGCAAGGGCATTTGGATGGGGCCGTACCCCCTCGGGAGTGAAGCCACCGTGGGGTCAGGGCAGATATAAAACAGGAAAGAAGTGAACCAGCAAGAGCCAGAGCGAGGCTCTCCTGCTGCCGCCACAGCCGGGGGGCCTCCCGACCCCCCCCCAGGCCGGTGGGCAGGGCCCCTCGCTATGCCCTCCCCCCCCCCAGAAGAAAAGGGCCCCGGGAGCACTGTGGGCACGTGAGTGGGGGGCAGCAAGGACGGGCTGGGAGTGATTCAGCTGTTCGCTCATCATACACACACACACACACACACACACACTGGGGACCTGAGAAAAAAGACACCTACTAAGAAGGGCTCCTGCTGGCTAACTGGGCTTAAATTAAAAAACAAAAACAAAACAGAGCCTAGCAGCCATTTCTGCACAGGGAGAAGCTGCACTGAACCACCTGCCTGCGCTGTTTCTGTCGCCTGAGCTGGCCCTTATAAAGGGGGTCCTGGAATCCATTTCAACCAATAGGATTGAGGCTTTCCCCATCCAATCAGAGCTGCGCAGCTCTGACCACCCAGAGTGGCTCTATTCCCCTGTGGTTCTGGGAGTGCACTTTCCCTTCCCACCGGGACAGAGCACCTGAGCTGAGCCCACAGCTGGGCTCTTCGGCAGCCAGTGCTGTTGTCACGCGCACACTATGTTGACAGCCCTGCATGTCACAATTGAGCTGTTTGCACTCAATAGTTTCTTTCCTCACTGAACCCCAAATTGGGGATTCCTGTAGGCATTGAATTGGTTACAATGACCATTGGTTGATCACACACACACTCACATTCAAGTGCACCCCCACATACATGCACACATGCTCATACATGCACACATAATAGGCACATACAAACTCACACATACACCCCCCATATGCACACTCCTACACATACATGCATGCACATGCACATTAACACACACATTCACATACAGATGCATACACACATACATATCCATACACACCTCCCCACACATTAACATACACACACATACACACAGGCACACACACATACACACACTGACATGTACATATCCACACACATAGTCACACACATATACACATGTACATGCATACACTTACAAACACATGCTCACATACACACATACCCACTCACATACACACATGCACATATACACATACACACATACACACTTACATACATACCCACATACACATTAACAGATATGCACATACACACACTCACACACATGCACATACATACACACTCAGACATGCATATACCCATTCACACTCACATATACACATGCACTCACGTGAACACTCATACACATTTACTCACATAAACACACACATTCACACACTCACATACACACTCATACACACCTACACACACACTCGCACACACTCACACACACTCACACACACACACACCATCCACCACACATACCACACCTCCTCACTCTGGCATGCTTAGAGCAGCCATGGACACAAGCTCAGTGCCATTTGGAAGCCCCTCAGACACCCCTGGCGGGCTGGTCCCTGCTCAGACTGGGTCTTCCAGGCACTGGTGCTGAGAGCGCAGGGCCGCGCTCACATCTTCTACACTTGGTTCTGATATACGTACCATTTGACGTCTGTAATAGACACTCAGGAGCCCTGCCACAGCGGGGCCCACTCGACCACGCCTGCAATATCTAGGGAGGGACCCCAATATCATAAATAGCTTCCCAGGAGGCTCCAGCAGGAATCTGGCTTCAGAGCCATAGACCATATGTGCAGAGAACAGGAAAACGCACTTTTGAGAAAGCCCCATTGCTCTTTTCCATCTTCCCTGCACTCCATAAACTCAGGCCTGTCCTTGAAGGGGATGCTTGCACCCTCAGGAGGGCGGAGGGGAGGAGGGTGGGGCCCTCAACGGCTTTGGGGGGCACAGCAGATCTCCCCTCCAGGTCTCCAATCACAGTGATCGTGAATGAAGATGCCACTGGTTCCCATCTGCTTCAGCTGAATTGTGTGCCCCCAAATCCATGTGCTGCACCCTAACCCTCTGTGCGACTATATTTGGAAAGGGGCCTTTAGGGAGGTAATTGTGTCCCGTGAGATCACTAGGGTGGGCCCTCGCCAATGTGACTGGTGTTCTCACACGGAGATGAGGGCGGAGAAGACGGCGTCTGCAAGCCGTGGAGAGGCCGCAGGGGATCCACCGCCCACACCTGGGCCTTGGACTCCCCTCCTAGGCCTGAGACAGGCACCTTGGCCTGGAGGGTCTGTCCCAGCCTGGGCTGCTAACAGCAGCCTGACCGTGGGTGCACGTGGCTCCCAGCACTCAGCTGGGAGGACCCTGGGGAGCCTGGCGCACAGGCAGGATGCTCGACCTTCCAGTGCCGCTGCTCAGCCACCTGCAGGCCTCCAACCCATCAGTCCTGGTCCCGGGAAGCTGGCTGCCCAGGAGCCCAGGAGCCCAGGCTGCCCAGGCTGCCAGGTGGCAGCTCGTGCCACAGGCTCAGGGACACCCACCTCCACGCTCTGCTGGGGCTCGGCAGGCGCCCTGGGGCTGGTGCTCGCGGGGGCCACTGGCTGTGTCAGGAAACACTCTCCACAGACTCGGCTCTGTCTGCCGCTCTCTGCCTTGAACTCGGAGCACTTCCCACAAATGACCTGCCAGACAGAGGCACCGTGACCCTCCCTCCCGCAGACAGAGGCCTGTCCTGGAAGAGGCGGGAAGGGCCACGTCCTTCCGGGCGAGGGGGGTCCTCTGCAGGCCCTGGGGGCCAGGAGCCTGGGGAGGGCGGAGACCAAGGCATCACAGAGAAGGGCTGGAGGAGGACTGGGAGGAGTCGGCACAGAGGAGGGCTGGGAGGAGGCGTGAGAATGGCTGCCCCGCCCCACTGCCCAGCTCACCGCCCCGCACAGCTTGCAGTGGTGCCTCCTCTTGGTGATGGAGTTGAACGTCTCGCCACAGCCCTTGCAGCTCTGCTTCTCCTTGTCCCGCCTGATCTTGGAGGACCCCCTCTTGGGCTCGAGCTGTGGGAGACACACGGCGCAGTCAGCCCCCAGCATACGTAGGGGTGGCTGTATGACGCATGGGCAGCACCCACAGGGGAAATCACTGATGTAGACAAGGGAAGGAAGCGGGAGCCCATGGCCATGGCTGCCCCGCCTCTCCCCTGTCACACAGTGAGGCTCGCAGTGATCCGGACCCCATGCTGGGATGCTGGCCCTGCATGGGGGCCAGGGACTCAGCCACCGGAGGCCATGCTGAGAGAGACGGTGGCTGTCTGCACAGAGGTCCAGTCAAGGACTGGGTGTCTGTCCTGAGCATCGGCTACACGGCACTCACGCCCCTACTCTATCTTCACTGGGCCCTGGAGCTTGGCACACACTCCTCACGGCACACGCGTGGCAGTGCAATCCCTGGGGCTGACAAGCGACTTCCAGCCTCCAGAGCCGGGAGAATGAATGCCTGTGTAGGTCACGGGTCTGTGGTATTTTGTTACAGAGCTTGAGCTGACTAATACTGAGACCTGGGTTCAAATTTTGACTGTACTTCCCAGCTGTGTGGCCCCCACTCACCATCCCCCGAGCCCCCATGGGCACCACCATGTGATGCTTGCACAGAATGGCACAAGGTGCCCAGGGCAGGCTAGCTCCTCCTAGGCTCAGCTTCCCTCCATGTCATGACCCCCTGCCCCACGGACATTGGGAGTCAGACAGCCCTGGGTCCCTGTCACTTTATCCCACAGAGGCCCTGCTAACGGGAGAATGCGCATCACAACCACTGTAAGCAAAACCAATGCTTCTCAGAACAACCAAGATGGTGGTGTACTCACCACGCCGGTACTCACCACCTCCCACAACCACATTAAAATTACAACTAAAATACAGAAGACCATCATCCAGAACTGCCTGAAAGCTGGCTGAATGGAAGTCTTACAACTAGAGAAAGAAGAAAGCACATGGAGGCTGATAGGAGGAGTGGATGCTTGGAACGAGCTGGTCTGGCACCCACGTGTGCCACTTTTTTAATCGGGAGGGAGAGCATGTATGCAGAGCTCCTCCTGTCCCCCCATGAGGAGCAAGGGGTCCCAGACCCCAGCCCAGGGTCCCAGAGCTGAGAAGAGAAGCCCCCATAACTTCAGACTGTAAAAACCAATAGGGATTGAGGCTCAGAGACCCAGGTGTTTCTCTTAAAGGGATAGCGCACTTACAAGGTATCTCTTCCTCTGAGCTCCAGCACCAGGGCAAAGATCTGGGGGACCCAGATACATAAGAGGTGACATTAGGGCAGGGACTTGGGGTGGCTTTCTCCCAGACAAGGGTGCTCGCAGGGGTCATTGTTCTTGTGCTGGGACCTCCTGTGTCACAGAACTGACTGGCAGTCATATATGAGTCTCCATCAGCCTGGAGCACACTGTTTACTCCGCCCTGGGAATTCCCTGAGACCCTGACCCATCCAATTTGCAGCCCCTTCCAAGCTGTTTGTAGTGGCTTTTGCATATTAATGGTCTGTCCTTGCTCACACTTCAGACTTTGCTAAAATCTCTCAAACAAGCTGCAGCTGGTGACAGCATACCCCAAACATATCAATAAAAGGTCCAAGACCTGGCATTAGCACCAGCCTGCTTTGCTTCACAGCCAGGCCTCACCTGGGCACCTCCAAGCCCAATATAAATAGTAAATAGCAGCCATCTGCAGAACCCTCTGTAGCTCCTGCCAGGTGGCCCCAGGCAGTGGCTGACTTTGCACTTCCCTGGAGACTCAAGAGCCAGTGCACCCAGTGGTCAGTTTCAGACCACACCAGATTACAACTCTACACATCCACAAGTGACACACGCAAGGGCCAGACTCAGTGAGCACCAAAGCCCCACTGAAGCAAGTCCTGCTCCATAGGGGTGTTCCCTGCCAAGTAGCTCCCCCACTGTAGTCACAGCTGGTCCTCACAGCCAATTGGCATGGAGGTCAATTCCTCACAGTGACACCAACAATAATCAAGGCTCAACTACAACAAGACTGTGCACACAGCCCACAAAGGGGTGCACCTAGTGCCCACCTCAGGTGATTGTGGAAGGCTGAGCCACTGGTCCCTATAGGACACCTACTACACAAGTCCACTCTACCAACTCAAGGAGACATAGCAGCTCTATCCAATACATAGAAACAAACACAGGGAAGCAGCCAAAATGCAGAGACAAAGAAACATGTCACAAATGAAAGAAATGGAAGAAAGCAAACTACTAGATATAGAGTGCAAAAACCACAGTTATAAGGTTTCAAGGATCTTAATGAGAGCTTCAAGGGACTTAGTGAGACTTTCAAGGATCTTAGTGAGAATGCAAAAAAAAAAAAGAAAGGAAAAGAACCAGTCAGAAATTAAGCATACACTGACAAATAAAGAATAATTTACAGGGATTCAACAGTAGAGTAGAGGATTCTGAGAATGAAATCAACAATTTGAAATATGAAGAAGCAAAAAACATCCAATCAGAAGAGCAAAAAGAAAAAAGAACCCAAAAATATGAAGAAAGTGTAAGGAGCTTCTGGGACCAACATTCGCATGGGTGCGCCAGAAGGAGAAGAGAGAGAGCAAGATATTGAAAACCTATTTAAAGAAATAATGACAGAAAATGTTCCCTACCTGGTGAAAGCACAGAGTCCCAAACAAGAGGAACCCAAAAGAGGCCAACACCAAGAAACATTATAATTAAAATGCCAAGGGCTAAAGACAAAGAGAGAATCTTAAAAGCAGCAAGAGAAAAGCAGTTAGCTACCTACAAGGGAGCGCCCATACAACTGTCAGCTTTCTCAGCAGAAACTATGTAGGCCAGAAGGGAGTGGCAAGAAGTATTCAAAGTGATGAATAGCAAGGACCTATAACCAAGATTGTTCTACCCAGCAAAACTATCATTTAGAATTGAAGGTCAGATAAAGAGCTTCACAGACAAGAAAAAGCTAAAGGAGTTCATCACCACCAAACCAGTATTACATGAAATGCTCATGGGTATTCTTTAAGAAGAGGAAGAAGGAGAAGAAAAAGAAAAAGATAAAAAATATGAACAATAAAAAGGCAATATTAAAATCTAATGAACAGAATAAACTGGTAAATAAAATAGAATTAGAAGCATGGAAATAGAACAGACTGATGAATCTCAAAGGGAAGAGGGTTGGGGGGGTCAGGAAGAGATTAAACAAAGATCTTATATGCATTACCTACAGACACAGACAATAGGGTGGCGAAGGCCTGTGGGTGTCCTCCCCGAGCCACCTCTGGCCTTGTCCGCCAGCCACACTGAGCCCTCCCCTATCAGGGCTCCTTCCCTGGAGACGTCTCTCAGGACTGCTGGGGCCTGTGGTGTGGAGGGGGAGGGAGGGGTGAGCCCCAGGGAAAGGAAGAGGGTGGAGGCAGCCAGGCTGTTTGGGATGCTAGGGGAGGGGCTCACGCAGCAGCAGCACCGGGAAGAGGCCCTGCGCCCACAGAGGGTCTGGCCTGGGAGGGGATGTTTCTATGCTCCTGCACAGAGCACAGAGCGAGAAGGCTCTGGGCTCAGGCCCGCTGCGGGGCTTCCTGGTGGGGCTTAACTTCATTTTTTTTTGGGTGTCAGAATTAAGGCCCACTTTTGAGTGCCTCCTACAATGTCACTGAGTCTTGCCCCGAGACACAGAGCTGCACACCGTGGCCGGGCCACGCACAGCTGGCCCCACAGGCCGTCTGCTGCTGCTTGTTTGTTCGTACTGGGGCCCAGCCCCAACCTGGGTGGGTAAAGGGCCTGGAACAAGGAGACCTGGACTGCGACCTGGAGCCCCTGGAGGGCTGAGCCCGGGACAGGAGGAGGCGGAGCCTGTGCACCACTGGCCCAGCATGGCCATGGCCCCACAGCTCTACTGGTCAAAGCCTGGCTCAGGCAGACCCACCTTCTCACCCATCAAAGGAGGGGGGCGGCCAATCGGAGGGGTCCCTTCCACCTAGAACATTCTCTGAGGGGGCCCCACACACCCCGCCCACCTCTTGCTCCTCTCTCCGTGCCTTGGGTCCCCCTGACACGCAGCCCACGGGCTGCACTGCACCACATCCAGGGCTCAGCCCCTGTGCAGCCACCTGGCCCTTTAAATACAGTTCCTCATGTTGTGACCCAACCATAAAATTATTTTTGTTGCTACTTCATAACTGTAATGTTGCTACTGTTATGAATCGTCATGTAAATATCTGATACGCAGGATGGTCTTAGGCGACCCCTGTGAAAGGGTCATTCTACCGCCAAAGGGGTCGCGACCCACAGGTTGAGAACCGCTGTAGCTGTTTCAGGAAGGAGCTTGGCAGTGCCTCCTGCCTGCATTGCCCGGGCTGAGGAAGGTGAGCAGGCCCAGGATAGGGGTCTTGGGCACATGCCTCCCTGGACCCATCCTCCTGGGCCCAACAGACTGGTCAGATGCCACCTCCAAGAAGCCTTCCCTGATAGCACCCCTCAGGCCCTCCTGACAGGGCACCTGTCTGCCCGAAATCCCCGTCCACGGGATGACCTTTCCTCTCTGGACGGTGGAGCCCTTTAGGGTGGAACTGCTTCGTTTCACATTGATTCAGCACGTATCACACGAGGAGAAGAGCTCAGGTCTCCAGAGCTCAGCTGGGACCTCCACCCACCCGAGGACATGCACATTCAGGTCCCAGTGGCCCCCCAACCCTCCCCCAACAGGCCAGGATCATCACTGTGGGGACCTGCTCACACACAGGTCACTGTGGTCTGAACTCACCCTTCAGGCCACCCTAGTTAGACCCAAGTGTCCACCTCCTGCCTCTGCTGGGGCCACTCACCCCTGCAGCACCCCCTCTGCCGTCGGCGGCCACCGCAGGCTCCTCGAAGCTGGCACTCGTCGTCTGAAAGGGACAGAGACAGTTGGCAGAGTGGAGGCTCGGTCACATGCCAAAGTCCAGGGCAGCAATGGGATCAGCCCAGACCTGCACCTGACCATCAGCCCCGCAGTGAGCAGCCCTGGTCCCGGCTCCTCCCTCAGGTGTCCTTGTAGAGAGCTCTGCACCTGCCTGTTTTCTTTCAAAATAATCCAGAAAGCAGAAAAAAGCGAGCAGATTTAATGCAAATATTAAGTAGATAGCGAGGTGGCCTGCAGGCCGAAGTTTGGCCGCAGAAAAGGGTGCCACCTGGCGTCTGGGTCTTGGGGCTGCTGGCCAGGCTGGCGGGGCACCCAGCAGCTTCAAGACACCCGGTGGGCAGCCTCACTCTGAAGCCCAGACAGAGGCTGTGCCGAAGCCCCAGGTGGCCCCCAAGGGACAAGGGATGGCTACAGCCCCGACCCCACCGCCAGGCCCAGGCGGCCTGTGTGGGGACAGTGAGCGGCCCACAGCACTGCCTCCTGCTGCGGCCCCACCGGGGCCACCTGGCCTGGAGGCACAGTGGTCCCCAGAGGTACTCGGTAGAGAGTGGGCAGACGTCAGCTGTCCACCAGCCCTGGCCCTGGGCATGAGGATAACTCCGGGTGGGGGCAGCCTCCCTTCCTGACGCCAGCCCTGCGTGCAGGGTGGGCAGCCACATGCCCACCCAGGCGCTTCCCGCACAGCCCCCGGCTCGGGCACTCACAGGGGGCTCTGGAGTCTGGGAGGGGTCCTCATCTTGGCTGAAGGCGGCGCTGAAGGCCTTGAAGGTCTGGCTGTTCTGTTTGTGCTTCGAGATGGTGGCTTCGATGACCTGGAGCAGGCAGGGCACAGGCCTCAGCGGTGCTCACAGCGTCCTGTGCGCCCACGTCCCCTGACCCTGCACACGGGAAGCGCCCCCTGACAGGAGGAAGTGAGGCCCTGGGACGTGACTGACAGCAGCCGGGCCTCCCACCCGCTCCGCCCGGTGCCACAGTGCAGCGGGCTCCCTCGCGTGGTGCTCCAGCCACGGATGTTCTCTGTGGGTGTGAGGCCTGTCTCCCTTTCCTGCGGTCCATTTCCACTTGCTCTCTGACTTTCCTTCTCTCCCACCCAGATACCGCTTCTACGCATTTTGGAAGCCACAGTCTCTAACAATTAGTGTTTGGCCTGGCCTGGCCACTCCGGGCTCCCTGTGCTGCCCCGGGTGCTGCCCACCTCCCCGCCCATCGCCCCTGGAAGCACAGGCTCCATCCTGTGAGTCCCACCCCTCGTCCTGCTCTGCCTGCCAGGCCGTGGAGAGGGCAGTGTGGCCCCTCCCCAGAGCCAGCGGACAGCAGACGTCCACCCCCAGGGGAGGGCGCCTCCCTGATGCCCACCTCCAGGCCCTGCATATGTATGTTTTTATTGATTTCAGAGAGGAAGGGAGAGGGAGAGGGAGAGAAAAGCATCCATGATGAGAGAGAATCATTGGTCAGCTGCCTCCTGCATGCCCCACACCGGGGATGGAGCCAGCAACCTGGGATGTACCCTGATCGGGAATGGAAACATGACCTCCTGGTTCATAGGTCGATGCTCAACCACGGAGCCACGCTGGCCAGCTCTTTATGTTTCTCTATTTACCGGGGGCCAAGCAAGCACATTGAAAGGCTGGTGTGTCTAAAGGTGCTTATGAACTTGGTCAGTCCACCACTTCGAGGCAGACCGGTAGGGCACGGCCCGGGGATACTCAAGCCTTTGTTCCAACAGGAAAGGCCATACTGCTCAAGAATGAGGTGACTTTAGGAGCTTCACCTGAATCCATTCTTTCTTCTCCTCTTCCGTCCTAGGAGAAACAGAAACAGGTTTTATGACTTCAGCTTTGGATCCTGAGTAACCGCCTCCTGATTCCTCCCTATCCTGCCGCCATGCCCGAGCCGTGCACTGTCTCCAAGGGCAGTTTCAGACCCAGAAGACGGCCCGCAGGGCTCCAGGACACTGGCCAGAGGGGGTCAGGTGCAGCCAGGTGGGGTCAGGTGTGAACAGGTGGGGTCAATTGGGGCCAGATAGGGTCAGGTAGAGTCACATGGGTCAGATGGGGTCAGGTGTGAACAGGTGGGGTCAGGTGTGAACAAGTGGGGTCAGGGATAGTCACATGGGTCACATGGGGTCAGGAGTGGCTGGGGTGGGAGGTGTGGAGTGCAGAGGCCTCTGCAGTGGAGGTGAGGCAATGCCTCCTGGACACAGTGGATTATCACCAAGGCCCTGGGTGGGAGGAAGGGTCTCCCATACTTTGTCACCAGTCAGGGCACAGCCTGGCACGGCCCTCCACGGTGGCGTGACAACAGCTACCGGCCCCGAAAGCAGACGTGCTGCTCTATGGCCCACAGTTCTGTGTCAGGAGCCCACCTGGCAGGTCTAGTGCACCTGCACCTCACCTGGGGCAGGTGCTGTGGCCAGACCCCGTGGAGCCTGGGGCCCGCCAGAGAGCCAGTCAGTGACCATTGGGAAGCATTACGTGCTTTAGGAAAGGTGCTCTGACTGAGATGATTTCTGATAAATTAAGTGAAAAAGGCAAGATGCAGAACAGGCTATACAGTAACCAGCCATCTGTGTGTGAGCACAGAGACCCTGCGGGCGTGTGAGGGGTGGGAAGGGTGCCCCCTGGGGGGTGGGGAGGGGGCTTATCCTGCATGGACTCCCCTCATTCAGGTATGGCCTAAACCACAAATAAATGAATAAATAAAAACACACAGCAAGGTGGTCTGGTTTAGAAAGAGAAGCCGCCGGCTGAAATTCCCGGCCAAAGACTGAGTTCACACAGCAGCGAAGGCTGCGCAGCTGAGCCTACCGGGCGCGCAGCTCCAGGGCCCGGCTCCTCCCCGTGAGGATGAACGTGGGGGCTGCTGGCGGCTTGCTGGTGTCCTGCACCTACAGGACGCGCCGAGGACAGAACGGAGCCGTCACCGAGCGGCCTGCACTCACCCTGCTCTCCCCACGGAGGCCTACTGAGGAGGCTCCACCGGCAGGTCTGCAGTGGGC